GACGAGGAAGTCGGCGAGGTGGGGGAAGCGGTCTCCGGCGAGGCGCGGGAAGTCCGGGAAGGCGGCGAGCGCGTCGGAGAGCGGGGTGGAGGCCGGCGCGGAGGAGACGGAGAGGAGGGAGGCGAGCGCAGCGCCGTCGGAGTAGGAGATGGCGTTGGTCACGCGAGAGAGGTAGTCGCCGATGCGGCGGTGCGCCTCACCCATGCTCAGGTACGCCGCCATCTCCAGCGACAGCGGCCGCGTTGGGGTTTGGGGTTTCCGAGTTCCGCGGCGGCGGCGGAGGCTGGAAGAAAGCCGGTACACGGGTACAGGTTCGAGTTGCCAGTTACGAAGGGTGGCTGCGATCAGTTATCCTCGCCGTCAAGGTTGGTCGCCGTTGGAAGCTGTGGGCTTGCGTTGAAGAGCAAATTGAACCATGTTTTGCTCTCCATGTTTTCGCTGGGACTCCTTCCACAGATTCCATCGTGGACAACCCCTTTTTTTTCCCCTGATGAAACAGAGTTTACAGAGCTGCTTATGTTTCACAGTTGTTTCATCAAGTCAAGGAAATAGAGAGAGGACTTTAAACAAATAACATATAATTTTTTCACAGCACATAGCTCAACAGTGTTTCTATAGCTCATAGGCCCTGTTCGCTTCGCTGAAAAGTCATGACTGAAAGTAATGTTCGCTGATTTGCTATGTGAGAGAAAAACATAGTTCTTTCGCTGAAACAGTATGGCTCATAAGACAAACGAACAAGTCCATAGTTCACATTAGCTTATCCACAGCTCACAGCTGAATCAAACGGACATTAACCAATCGTTCTTTGCATATAGCTAGCAATAAAGAAAATTAACTACAAAAGAGCTCCATCAAATTCTCTTTTCAATTCTCTTTCCCTCCAAATTTTTCTCAAACCCTCAAAATCTCTCCTCTCTCTTTCAAATGAAAGGGAACAAGCGAAAAAATTTCCCAATCCCTTTCTTACTTCCCTTTCCCACTGGCATACAAGCCCTAAGCTTCCGTTGTGCCTCCACGAAGACTAGGCAAGTTAGCACTATGGCGCACTCCAGTGATGTCGTCATGTCGCATCATATGCCGTCCACATCCTCGAGTGAGCCTTTGCCACCAATCACACACCACCTCGAGCCGTGCAGCTCCCCGCGGCGGGTGAGCTGCGTCCGCAACAAGATGAGAGAGACACCAGAGAAGAGAGGAAAAGATATTTGTTTCACTGACGTATGGAACCCACATATAAAAGCGATGAATATTTCAACCTGCTAGAGTACATATCCTATATACTCCCTCTCTATCCTTGAATAAATAGATTTCTAGCTCAAGAATTTATCTACAAATAAAGCAATCTCTAGGAGGTTGAATGGTCCACAAGCCCTTTATTTTTATGGAAGTCTCCTCGCATTTATTGCACACCCTCTCATCTTTTAAGTCTAGTGTTGAGTTTCTACAATTGGATGTGTGTAGTATAGTATGTTATTGGAGCAATCACCGATCAACGTGTAACAACTCCAATTAATGAAGGGTGGTATGTTTTTTCCTGTGCATACTAATTTGTCCTAAATTTATTAAGAATTTATTTATTTAGGGACAGAGGGAGTAATATATAATTCAACTTTCACAATCACATTTACCGATATACATGATTTTAAGTGGAGGAGAATCTAGTGGAGTTGCTCTTGGGGGCATATACGCACAACTTCTTTCATAAGATAATTCTATGTCAGTTACAGACAATATATAATAGACAAGTTACCGTATAAATTATTTAGGAGCAAATGACATGTGGCCATTTATTATAGACGATCATGTACATAAAAAAGGGTTGTCTATAAGAGATTTCTCACATCCTCTCAAACCATATATTAATTACTACTAGACAATATCTTTCTCTCCTCTATTTCTCTCTTCCACCTCATATAAAGTCATATGACACCTCTTCTAGACCGAAGACCGTAGATGCCACCCCACTATATACGTCCTTATATAAATTAGTCAAATTATATTATTCTTTTTTGTACAGTGTAAATTATCTACTTCTTTCGCTCCTGATTATAGGTTTATAGCTTTTATCATGTATCTAGATGTATAGCAAACGCTATGAGTCTAGAAAAGATAAAATTAAACATTTTGTAATTTGAAACGTAGTGAGTAGTTATAAAAAAGGAGATGTACGGCCCATTTGGATGTTGTCCAAAAGCTATCGGCCAGCCAAATCTCGTCGATTGATTTGGGCACCAAGGAATTTGCCAACGCCAGCGTGCGAAAATGAACTATTTGTGGGCAGGCGAGCCAAATCGTGGCCAGTATCTAGACGAGTTACGTGCCTGCAGTCAACAAACAAATTTTTGGCTCGGTCGGTTGGTGTAGGCACTCATCCAAAACGTGTCCTATGTTTGTTTTTGACCTCCAAAATTGTTTTCATAAGTTCTAACCCTCGAGGTGTCATTCTAACCCTCGTGAATCGTGATGTCTTCTTCTCCTCTCTCACTCGGCTACTCTACAGTTTTTTTTTCCAGTTTTCGGTGGTCTAGCTGATTGTTGTTGCTAGTGATAAAACTGCAGTTACAATTTCCTCTCAACATGATGCTATTGGCCCTGTTCGCTTATCTTATAATCCGTCTTTTTTAGCTTATTTTTTCAGCTGAAACAGTGTTTTTCTCTCACAACAAATTATCCATAACAGTGTTTCGATTTTTTTTTCAACGAAACGAACGGGACAACTATAGCAACATCAGCTGCAAGAGCAGGATATTAATTTAAAAAGCTATATTATATAGATAAGGATCTCAGCTAAGGGGTGCTGTAGCACTCACAACACTGAGCTTCACTTTTCTGTCGAGTTCAATAAGCCAAGTTACGGGTTACACTTGAATGAGAAAAATAAAGCCTAAAGAGTACTGTACTACTCTTTCTGTCCCGCTTCGACTGTTATTTTGGCAGTGCAGTAAATTGTCTACCTTCACAGTTTCTTCAATACACTCGGACACACGAAACATCCACGTTCAAACAATCTTTGCTGCATCAGACTGAAAGCTAAAACGTCAGTCAAAGCGGGACAAAAAGAGTACGTTGTTCTTTAATATTTTTGAGGTGCTAAATGAACCCTAAACATAGGACCCCTGTTTAGATAAGGATTCAAATTTCAATGCAGTTTTGACACCTATTTAAGTAAGGATTTAAATCTCAATATACAGTTTTGAGAACAAAATCTGAGCGATTAGATACATTTCATCAATAATATACTACGGTCGTGTTTAGTAGGACTTATATTTGCAAAAGGCTTCGTCATAAATATCGGAGAAGCCACGTTTAGATGGCATCATCCTTTTCTTATAAAAAACATTTTTTCTTCAAAACCAATTTTTCTTCTCTACAACTTCTTTGGTAGAGTTGTTTCATGAGCTGGCATTTGACAACGCTTCATTCGAGAGGTAGAGTTGAAACACATCAAAAAGCCCTGCCAAAGAAGTCTTAAGTACTATGTACCTTATCTGTATGCAATATGCATCTTATATTCTTACTGTATATTTTTTAGTGTAAATTTAATGAGACAAGTACCGCAAATCAGATACTATCATTAAGGATGTCTTTAATTTTATCTACTCTCTACCCCAAAATAAAATGTTTAGCATTCAAAATTTGCCACACAATAAGTTTTCCTTTTAGGGCATGGACCACCTGGCACAAGTAAGATCATGTTTGGTATACCCTTGCTTCAATGCAGAAAAAACATTTTTTGATTACATTGGTGGAGCTGAAGCTGTTTTGAAATATTTTTTAGCAATACAACTTCTCATGGTAGATTTGGGAGAGGGAGTTGAGAGAAGATGGTATTTTCAACTCTGTCCGGCGTCTAACCCTTGTGAGACTGGGCTTTAAGGAGCTTCACTTGATGAGCTGTTCCATTTAACCTGTTTGGACAAAAAAAACCCAACCCCAAATAGCTTCTAAACTGCTAGAGAAGTTGTACCAAATATGTCCTAAGTTTTGCTATTTTCTCCATTCAAAGCGCAACTATTACATGCTAAGCTCTCATTATAATTAGCTTATATAATTTAACTCTGCAAAGGAGTTTTGGTTCGTGTGCTCTCACCGTGGCCATTATGATCTAGATATGATTGATCATACGATAGATTATTATAATCAAAACTCCTCATCATCACGGGATTATGGGTGCTAAAAATACAAATTGTCTCGAACCGGTTGTTCAACTTGCCAAACTAAAAGATAAGATACAAAATTTTCACTTTAATCAACCACAACAATCAGGGAGTGAAACATCAAATTATTATTTTTCATGATCACGAGTTATGTACATAAGATAATGAAGTGTAAAAAATCTGTCCTAACATTTTCCAGTTCCTCATTAAAAACATGCTAGCAGGTCAGTAGGCCCTCTACTTCACTTGTTCGTCCACAAAAGTCAACCAAATTAATATCCACCGACATTTCCGCGCGGAAAAAGGATGCCACTCAACACCCATCAATCAAATCAAATCAATCAAATTCTTGAAGACCAAGACCAAGAGGTACAGTAAATAAAATCTTCGTGGGTTCACTCTCACAGCCCACACCAGGCACCGAACAGCCGTAGCGGCCTGTACGCTTGATCGTAAATGATCGTAAATTTTTAGTTGGAAATATTATTTTTCTCTCATACTAAACCTACCAGCAGTAAATAATCCACGATACGAAACGTCCTCCCGAACATGCTGTAGCCCTCTGTGGTGTCAACGGCAAAGCGGACCCATCAAATCCGCCGTCCAAACCCGCAGACCAAAGAAGCAGCCCTCCATCGGACGGCAGAGAGCAGCCGTTCTCCACTTGGATTCAAACGCCCCGTCACTCTAATCGCTGCAGAAACTACCCAAATTACCCCTAGCCCGCTCCCTCAGTCTCCTGCTCCGTCGGAACGGACAGCCGCGGCCATTCCCCAGCCCAGCCCCCTCGCTTCCTGCACCCTCGCTGCTAGGGTTTGCTCGCAATCCAGCCCCTCCGCCATGGCCAAGACGAAGCAAGGGAAGCGGGACGTCGACGCCTACACCATCAAGGGCACCAACAAGGTGGTCCGAGGTAAGCCCTTGCCCGGCCGTGCACTTGATCCACGCCGTCGCTTGCTGGTGTCTAAGATTTGAGCCCTGACGGGTCCGGCTGCTGTGCGTGAACCGTGAAGTGGGGGACTGCGTGCTGATGCGTCCGGCGGACACGGACAAGCCGCCGTACGTGGCGCGGGTGGAGCGGATGGAGTCGGACGGGCGCGGCGGCGTCCGGGTGCGGGTGCGCTGGTACTACCGCCCCGAGGAGGCCAAGGGCGGCCGCCGCCCGTTCCACGGCGCCAAGGAGCTCTTCCTCTCCGACCACTTCGACACGCAGAGCGCGCACACCATTGAGGGAAAGTGCATCGTTCACTCCTTCAAGAGCTACACCAAGCTCGACAACGTCGGCCCGGAGGACTTCTACTGCCGATTTGACTACAAGGCCGCCACCGGTGCATTCACCCCCGACCGTGTCGCCGTGTACTGAGCTCTTCCTTTTCTTTAACCTTTTGTCATCAGTTCGTACTCTCTTTGCTTGTGATGTAATGTGGGATTGCTTGTCTTATGGCATCGTTTTGTATGTGAAGGTATTGCAAGTGTGAAATGCCGTACAACCCGGATGACCTCATGGTGCAGTGCGAAGGATGCAAGGACTGGTAAAATCCTGTGAAAAACTCCACATTTTTCTCCCAATAATAATGCATGTTTTGAAAGGAGTTTATGTGGTAAAATTACTGTGAAATAGCTCCACATTTTCCCCTCAACAATGCATGTCTTGAAATGGTGCTTATGTGGTGGTTATATGAACTGCCTTTCTTCGAGATGTTATATCTTTCTGCTCTCTGGCCCTATGTCTAAATTGTCGTTCAGAATGAACTAACTAGTTTATCTCTCGATTATTTAGTTTCCTTTTGACTGTGGGGCAAAGTATAAATCATCTGGAATATGGTCAGGATTAAGACTAAACATTGATTGATGAACATGAGGTTTCTTAGAGCCTTATGCTCCTGTGTTTGCTTGGTCCTTATGTAAGATATATGCTATTCACCATTGACTAGTATTGCTTACAGTCTTTTGTAGATATATAGTTTCAAGAACTGTTTAAACACATATGATCAAGGAAAGGACTGGTTTTCTGCAAAATTTCGTAGCATTTGTCTGTTTTGTTCTGTTTTATTATACCTGTTGCGCATTGGTTTTTCTTGCTTGACAAGCAGCTATCTTAGTTATATGAACCTGATTGTGGCACATGCGATTCTCCCTGGAATACTACGGAACTAATATAGAATTGGATTAGAGTTTGGAACAGAAGGTGACATGCAGTGTTTTTAGGATTTGCATGGCCTGACATTTCCTCTCTCTCTTTTTCTATATATAAAGAAGCTTTTAAGATGTTTGATCTACATGAATATGATTGCTTATGAGAATATTTAGACATCATGGAGTATGCTATCTCTGGATTTTGTCGCATGATAAATGTATGCCATGTGTTCTACATAATGATCAAAGGGTTGCATGATGGTATTAGTTATGATGTTTGTCTTTTTCGTTGGCTTTCTTCTGCAATGGTTCCTTGAGGTGGTGTTTGGATGGCTAGAGGGTTTGGGACAGGGAAATGTGCTGGGTTATGATAGGCTGGGTCTGGGTTAGGCATATGAGAATCCAAGGCCAATCCATTGTTTGGCTTTTGCTGAGTTTGGGTATGGGTTAGGTGGGTCCCACGAGATTAAAAATACAAATCACACATGCGTCTTCATCCTATCCGCTCGCTGCCAACCACCAGCAGTACCTTATCTCGTTCTCATCCCCAACACTTCCGCAAGCGTTGACCAACATTCGGTGGCTCCGGCAGCCAGCGCCTGTGAGCGCGGCTTTGCAGAATCGCAGCAGCATGTGCGAGGACGTTGTGAGGTGAGCGGCGGCTCCGGCAGCGCAGGCGCCGAGGGCTTTGGCAGCACGGGCAACAGGGGCAGCAGTTACTCGAGCAGCGCAGGCGGCGGCACGTCCCAGCTGGGACGCCCGGCATTTCAGGCGACGGGGGCTGCCGCTCGCCTGCTCCAGCAGTGCGAGAGGCGCGGGTGGTGGGGGTGACTGTTGGCTGCTGCTCGCCTGCTCCAGCAGTGCGAGATGCGCGGGCGGTGGAGACGACTCCAGCTACGGCGACAAGAGTGGCTCTTACTCCGGCGACGAGGGAGGCTTCGGCTCCTCCTCGGTAGGAGGTAACAAGGCCAACAATGGTGGCTTCCTCCTTGATGGCCAACATCAATCTGTTCGAGAGGGCTGTGCTTCCGATATCCCGGTGTAACCCACCCCTCTGGCTGGGATAGAATCGGTAGGATATGAGCTACACATTATCCCACAGCGGCCTCATTTCCCTATCCCTCTTACCAAACGATGGATGAGTTATCCAGCACCCCTCATTTCCTCCTTGTGTGCCATTAAAAAAGATCGCAATGCCCTGTGTACCTCTGGAAAAGTTTAGCGGTCTTCACCGCCACTGCACCAACTTTTTTCAGTAAGAGGGATTATATCTTTTTTTTGCAAAATCATATCTTTTTTTTGCGGAATTAAATGAAAATAATTTTTATATGAAAATTATAGATCTCGACGAGATCTACAACTTTCTAGTTTTGAGTTTTTTCATTTGAAGTCGTTAAGATGCTCAAAAAAAATTAATGACATATTTAAACATAAGGGTATTTTCGACTTTTCACACCTGCAGTTTGATGGCGTTAGAGCCCAAACTGACGGCAGTGGCATGGAGGGCACAAAAAAGTTGGAGCAATGGCGCTGAAGACCGCTGAACTTTTCCAGGGGCACACAGGCCATTGCAATCTTTTTTAATGGCACACAAGGAATTCCCCCTTTCCCTATCCCACCCCGTATATCCTAATATCCAAACGGCACATGAGAGTTGAGACTCTTTTTTCATTTATACATGAGTATTTATTATTGTTTGTATCCAATATCATTTTATTGTTACTAACCACTATTTCCTCTTCATCCTGGTGCCATGGATATGACTTGTACATATAATCCTGTTTTTTCCCTATATTCTATGGGAATTGTTTATTTAACTTGTTAACAACGTAATTATGTTTTTGATATTTGTATGCTGTTATTGCTCTTCTTTATTACCATTTTTTTATTAAGTATCCAACTTCTAACTCTTGTAGGTTCCATCCGTCTTGTATGGGAATGACCATTGAGCAAGCCAAAAAGATAGATCATTACATGTGCTCGGATTGTGCTAAAGAAAATGGTGCAAAGAGACCCTCAAATTCATACCCATTTTCACCCAACTCTGATTCTAAGGTAGTGTGTTTTTCTCTTTATCACATGACTGCGTAAATTGTTTATTAATCTTCTGTGTGCATATAGTTTCTTATTTCTATTTTGAGATGATTTTTAGGCTAAATCCTATAATAAGATCAGATTTTCACGTAACATATTTTCAGAACTGGTAGTTTTGCCTGCATTCCCAAATTAATCATGATCAGTGCTTATTGTTGAGCTGTCGATTACAAATGCTCATCCTTGCTTATTGTCTATGTTTGCTGCAATTAGCTCTTTGATGCCAAGTTGATTTATTTTGTTGAATTTTCTTTCATCTTGCACTGATCAATACTATCTCATAATTATTCAGTGTAACATCTGTATTAATCTTCATTCTGTATGCTGTTTTTGGCATATTTCAAAGGTGACTAGTTCAAGTTACTCCCTCCATCTCAAAATAAATCAACTCCTAGAGTTGTCCCAAGTCAAACTATTTTAAGTTTAGCTAACTTTATAGAGAAGAGTACCAACATCTATGACACTCAATAAGTACACTATGAAAGTATGGGTGTGTTTGGATGCCTGCATAAGGCCCTAGCCAGGGTTCACCGATGCAAAAATCGTGTGTTTGGATGCCTGCATAGGGGTGTAAGCCTGGACTGGCTAATGCAAAAGAATGCCCTTGTCCTGACTTCCTGGGACGCTCCCTCCCACCGTTTCCAGCAAGCCTGGCTTGTGCTAACCCCTGGCACGGCTATTGGTGTGGGCCCGAGTGGCCTTGCTTGGCCAACGAACAAAACACTCCCCCGTCGTCCAGGTGCTAGGGTTACCTCCCATTCTCACCCTCCTCGCTGCCGCAGCTCTTCCTCTCTTCGAACGGTTCGGAGTCCAGATCGGAGAGCCAGCCCTTGCGACCAAGGCGAGACCTCTTCTCGTCACTGATATGTGCTGTATGGTGTTGCTGATCCATATGGCGAACCTCAATCCCCGTCTCCTCATTGTTGCTAGAATCTCTGATGTGTTGCTGCTGCTTCTTTGATGATTGCAATGTAGACTTTTTTGTCGATTAACCCTATGTGGTGCTTTTATGTTGTCTTCAAGGGGAGAAATCCTGGTGTGTATGATAACTGGATGGATTGCCATGCACAAGTGAATGGTTTTGCAAGCAACCTGTACCAGGGATACCAAACTTGGGATGAAGCAAACCAAACTTGGTTGCTGTACAAACGTCACCAAGATCAGGCCACAGAGATCAAAGCAGCTATAGCAGAAACTTGCAAAGCTCCAGAAAAGCCTCCCACTGTTAATTGCAGCAAAGATCTCATCATCATATTGCTGGTGGTAGTGGTTGCAGTCCAGATGTGGCTTCTGTTTGCTAAGTAGTTAGTTAGTTCAAATGATGCAAAGGGACCATATTCATCAATTAGGACTGGTAGAATGTGAACTGAATTGTGGTAATGTCGTTTGTGTCGTTAGCATTGGCTTGTGGTAATGTCATTTGTATCGTTCAACTAAGAAGTGAGAGCCGGCGGTAAGGTCACCACTGCAGGTGGTGAGGCCAAAAGAACCCTAACCCAGGTAACCAAACACGCAGCACCCAGATGGTTGTGAGCTAGCATTGTGCAATCCGGCAGTAGAGCAGGCAACCAAACAAAATACAAGTGCAGCCAGCCTAGACCAATGCAGCCAACCAAACAGGTCCCATTTGCATTGCAGTAGACAGGCCAGGTTAGCCCAGGCTTGATGCGGGTACCCAGGCTAGGTTTGCCCAGGCATCCAAACACACCCTATATTTCATGGTGTATCTAATGATACCAATTTGGTGTCATAAATGTTGCTCTCTTCTATAATTTCGGTCGAACTGAAGAAAATTTGGCTTAGAGCAACTCTAGAAGTTGGATTCATTTTGGGGACGAATGTTACACACCTCTAGAAGTTGATTTATTTTGGGGACGAATATTACCTTTTTAGCTAATTGGATTTTTATGTTCTCAAGATTGTTTACGCTTTCTCATCTATGATTGGCAAAGCAAGTCTTAAACCTTGATTTCCAATCTTCTCTTCAGATATCGGAAACATGCTTTCTTTGGTGCGCAGTCAATATTGTTTTGGTTGGAAGTACCTTATGGGCAACATAAAACATACCATATATATATATATATATATATATATATATATATATATATATATATATATATATATATATATATATATATATATATATATATATATATATATATATATATATATGAATCCTTGCCATTCTAATCATATTGAAAACTGCTAATCAGTGAAGTTCTGGTAAACATAAGTTACGATCAGTCGATCACATGGCGAAATCAGTGGCCTAACCATGTCTGTAGTAGTGCGTGGTCTAAATTTTAGCTTTTTAATTAACTTTGATTAGCATTTTCCCTATGCATTTCGTGGTACATTAGGATGCATTGTTTCAACGGTTACATGTGACTTTAAAAGGATTAACATGTGCTTTCTGTTCTGTCTCTTCATAATCTGCAGATTGAATCAAAGAGGCGCAAGAGATAAATGCTGTGGCAGAAGCATCCCTGGCAAAGGAGATGCGATATTTATGGTGTCATCTCCTCATTAATGGTGCATATTGAGATATTGAGATGTACACTGCGAGAGAAGAGCCAAGCCAATTGTAGGACAAAACTTGTTTGACTTATCATTCTTCTGTGTATTCTGGGGACGTTTCCTGCAGCTTAGACATTAGTGTGATGAGTAGGTCAGTTCCCGCTGCTGCACGTGCATGATCAGCTGCTGGAGGCGGGATAAGAAGTCGAGAAATGCTAGAATGCTGCTGACTCTGTCGATGTAACTTATCGGTGTGTGTGTCAACATATGCACTGGCTGGAAACGTTCCCATGTGTGAATGGACGATGCTGATGATAGCTTTGACTGTTGTTTCATAATTCAGTTAGATGTTGCGAAGAGTTGAAATAATATTGAGTTTGATCTTGAAACTTGAAATGTGCATAACGGTGTGGTCTATGGTGATGAGCAGGCTATGTTGGATTTCCGTGAGGAAACATAGAAGAGCATTCCTTTTCTGTGTGCTTGAGCAATCGACCCGTTTAGCTTCCTGTATGTACTTGCGAGACCTTCAATCTGCAGATTTTATTTCGCACCTTTAACACTGCATGCAATCGATAATGATATGATTAAGACGTCTGGACGGACCGATGCCTCCCTCGTTCCTGCAGTGCTTGCGCTCCTTTCCATTCTTATCCCTTCGCGTCCTGCCCCACACCTGACCATGTGGGCGTCGCTGCTTTCCCTGGCCAGCGATACTTCTATCTCTTCTTCTCTCTCTTTTTTTTTTTTTTTTCAATATTCAATTTTTTATAATAGATTTTTTTTCTACTCTCTCCCCCTTTTTTATAGCAGGTAGAGCTGACATCATTTTTTAAGCAGGATGATCTTTGGTGTGTATGTAACTTGGGACTCTCACCATCCTCTCCACACTTGGACTTTTGTGTAAAAGAAGTGTGTAGAGTTAGGGCCTCCTTTTTGAGCGTGTTCCATCACCAAAATCATCTAGTTATGTAGTTGATGCAACTCTCATGCCTTCAAGCATCGTATGTCCCCTGTTCTTGTTGATCTTAATAAGAAGGTTGTTTTTTTATAATACCCGAATGTCCATACTATCTTGTCATCAAGTTCTTGCTTTGATTAATAAGGTTGTTTTTTTATAATAATCTTTTTTATGATTGTATATATATATATATTTTTTTCTCATGATAATCCAGGGTATCTTCCGATAGTGCTTAATTTATGGTCTTAAACTTGACCGTGGGAACTTCATCTTGCAGCTATCATTGGTGGTGTAGTTCCTAGCTTCACCACAAAGCATTGAGAATTTTCGTTCAAGCTGCAAGGTTAGTACCACAGTGCATCCACGAGATTTGCAATATTTGTGATAAATATATGCATCCACAATCATCCTCTTAAATAGTTTGTAGACGAGGATCAAGAGGTGGTTGTGACCCTCATAGAAACACGTGATGCTAAGTGAAACGAACTATGGATACTTTGAAATTGAGAATGAAACATGTGGGGTCCCAAAAGTAAAACTTTCATGCTCGTCTATGGAATCCCTCCTTTTGGACTCCAGAGTCGGTGTTTCACGAATGTCCATGGCATGGGAGTTTTTGTTCTCAAGGGATGCATCGATTGAATCTAGTCCACTATTAAAAACGATGTTTGGATGGCCTGAGGGACATGTTTTAAGTTCAAGCGAGGGTGATAATGGAACAAACGAGGTTATGAATTTCACCTCCCTGAACGGGTTATTGTTGGGATGATGCTTTGCCATTGGATTTTGGGGCAAGAGATAGATGTGGCGGAGGCAATTTTCCCAACATCTTCATCAAGGCTTCCATAGGATGTCTTTTTTTAAGGGGCATCCTATGAGAAGACCAAAATCAAGGCTAGATGTGGAAGTCAGAATGAACCTCGGTATTGTTCATTGATTTGAGGTATTTCCAAGATATTCGAAAAAGTTCGTCCTCAAAAGATGGAAAGTCCGAAGGTTGGAAACCTTCCTCCGGAGTTTCTGGTTCGGGTGAGGGTCTCTGGATGGGACGTATTGGTTTGTCCTTAGCCGAAGAGACTTCCTCATGACTTGATTCTACACGGAGGGTTTCGATGGAAAGGGTGTTTTCTAGGATATGATCCAGAAGCGCTTCTCCTTCCGCTATGGTTTTGTGGTCAACGGACCCTCTGGTAGCGATATCAAGCTATAGGGCAGATTTCTTGCTTAAGACCTAACAAAAAATGTTGTATCTACACATGGTCTAGTATAAACAAGGCTAGGCCAGAGTGTGGTAAGATTAGAAATCTAGCCTAGGTTGCACCTATGGTTTCCTTCTCATGTTGGCGGGAGCTGAGAATCTCTTGTCGCAAGGAAGCAATTTGAGATATAGGAAATAATGCTGAACAGAATCTGTCCCTCAATTCTTCTCAATCTCTGTTTGCCTTCCCTACGTTGTGGGTGTACCATTGTTTCGCCCTCTCGTTAAGAGAGAAAGGAAACAACTTCCACTAAAGGTTTTCTTGTGACATGCCCGAAATGGTTAAGCATGCACAGAGCTACTCAAACTCCCGTAGATGATGGTAAGAGTTTTCATAAACATAACCTAAGAAGGTTTGTTCCCGAACCATGGCTATAAAGCCAGGACGGAGTTCATATCCAGAAGCTGTGATTGGCTTCGATGGTGGTGGTTCTTAAGAACTCATCTTTAGGAGTAGAAATATTTTTTTAATGGTAGGTTGCTCCATTGGAGAAGAAAAAAGAAAAAAAAGAATAATTTTTTCTTTTTTTAAAGGTAAAACACAAGGATACACGGATGAACTAGGTTCGGAGATAATACAACAACTGTTCTCTGGCAACGGCGCCAGAAATGCTTGTTGGTATTTCTTAACGCATACAGAAATAATCCATAAGCGCATGGAATTACCGTTGTAGCATTTCACCCGAAAGTATTCACAATATCGCATTTCTATGAGGAACGGAGGTGTAAGAGTGTTGACGGTAGTTACCATCCATCACAAACCATCAATAAAACATGTATAAGGGCATACATATGATCACCAACATAGACTTAGGGGTTTAAACTAACAATTTCCATGAGTTTTGGTGACTATGTATTTTCTGCAGGAGTTATTCAGAAAATTGTCAAGGAGGACCAAAACGTCAAATAAAATTGCGCTTATCCAAAGCGAAAACTACTCTAGAAGGTTCCAGAGGACACCAGAAGCCACACCACCGAAGCAGGCCTGCAGAGGACGACAGGTGGGGCTGGTCGGCCCCACATGCAAGCCGACCGGTCCCCTGGTCCCACCTGTCAGCCCCCCGTTGTTATGTCTGTTCTCCACTGCCTTAAGGATTGCATCTATGCTGTTTATTCAAGTCGGTTTGATCCGAGGGCTAAGGATTGACGCTCGAGCCTATATAACCAGCCCCCCCCCCCCTCCAGAACATGGTGCCATAAGTCAAGATCAAACCAGAAATTAGGGTTTCCAGAGAGAAGAGAATAGATCTCCAATTCTTTAAGTTTCTAGTATAGGCTAGCTAGCAAGGTTCAAGTAGAGTGTGGGCTATTGCTCAGGATTCTGGATCTGCCGTCTAGAGACTGGTATAGCCATTGTATCTCTTTATTTATGACTTTGTGCTACTTTAATATTATGTTGCTATTTATTATGTTCCAAGTTTGCTCTAGTTATATACTTGATATAGTTGTGATTGATGATGAGTATATGCATATGTTCGCAAAGCGCTTAGCCCAAGACGCGCGCTAGTTAAGTGGTCGACATTATGTAAGCATGTTGCTTATATATTGTTTGCCTGCGGATGCATTCTGTACTCTGGGTCATGTGGTAGATTATGGATGTGACACTCCTATTGAGTCCTTTGTAGTCCACTTCCCATTTGTAGAGCAAGTAGAACACAGTTGCGAAGGGAGACAAGCTCTGTTCTTGATCCTCCTTAGTAATATTCCTTATGCATAGATCCAAAGTTAATTATGCTATAAATGAGAGTGTATATACTTGGGTGTACAAAAGACTTAGTAAACAAGAAATGACTTAGGAATCTTTTTACTCTTACCGAATCTCCTACCTAGCCATAGTACATTTTATAAGTCTCTATTTCTATCTCTGGAATTATTATCAATGCTTTATACTTATCATTTATTTATCATTTGACTTACCCCTGCCATAGCATAAGAATGGTTTTATCATAAGTATATATATTTATCAATATCTCTTTGCCAACAATCCCATAGCTCCTCCCTATGGATAAAATATAAATAACGATACTCGGTATACTCCCGGGTGAAATGCTACAATAGTATATTATCTGTGCGCTTGCGGATACTTTACTTTAACATAAATAATTTTCTCTGAGTTTACAAGTGTCATTAATAATTACCAACCATGCATTTCTGGCATCATGCTAGGAATGACAACTTAGTAAAGAGCGATGCTAAGAAATGTCAACAAAGAGTCTCTTAAGCTAGTTCACCTAATGATAACAGGAAGAAGAATAGCCTGGATAGTGAGGTTATCTAGGGATAGAGATCCTAAGCTAAGATAGCTTTACCACTATAGACTTGCTTCGGGCACCGAATAACACTTGGTCTGCTAAGCGTTGCCGGCCTACGGCTCTACGCCATACCCGGACATGGGGGATTTCGTGGGACGGACAGGGCTGTCACCACCTGCCGCCTACCCCTCAACCGTGGAGTATGAGGCAAACGAAGGTAGCCTCTAGCCTAGACACCACGTCTACGCTATCGACTACTACTCTAGCATCGATCAAGGTTATCCATCTTTATCAGGGCCCTTTACTAGAGTATTCTTCATAAGGACGAACGATGAACCCATAAGTAAATAATGAACAAGACTAACTTAAAGTAGAACTCACCATCGAAGATAAACACGAACCTTATACTCCAAGTAGTATTCGGTTTGTAGAGGTACAAGTGGAGAGGAGCCGATGATTTCCAGCATTCCTTCCGCTAAGTGTACAAGGGGCCCCGAGTACACAAGAGGAGGTAGCCGACAACTCCGGTACTTCTCTACTCTTACTCACTCACTCTCTACACTAAAACTAGCTAGAGAGCTAAGATATGAATGGAGCTCTTCTCTTCTTGTCACATTGTCTCTCTTGTGTTGTGTGTCATTGAATGAGAGGGAGTGAGGGGGTATTTATAGGTTGAGAGGAGGAATGGAGGCCTCTCAATGCGCCATGTCAGCGATCCGTGTGCCTCTTCACCTCAACCCTTGGATCAAACCGTCATAAGATGGATGGTGGAGATGGAGTGGAGTTGTGCTTCCTTGTATGCCTTTTCTATCTTGAGAAAACCATCATCTTCCGGACGAGTCCTTCACGAACACCCATGCAACCGACATTGGTGAGGCAGTGGAAACCAACCGACCAAAGTTCAGGCCGATCAGAGCCAGTGGGGGGTCGGCCACCCCCTAGGGTCGGCCGCCCCCCAACTGGGGCCAAATTGGCCCATCTTCGGTGGGTGACTTCCTTTGGGCTTCTAGAGTGGGCCTATGTAGTGCTTTCGCTGAGAATGAGTGATTTGATTTGGGTTTGTCCTTATTCTTCTCTCTTTCAGGACCTGATTATGCTGGTAAGTGGGTCTTCTCCCCTTGGGATCTTTTGCTTTGTGCAGTACGGTGTTATGCTTTGGTTTCTTTGTGCATTTTGAATGTATTTTCTATGTATTCCTTGAATGCCTTCCTGCAAATGTTCAAACAACAAAACATGTGGAAATTGTTAGTTGTAAAGCCCTATGTCTAAGTTTAGTGCCTGTATGCTAGGATTTCATGCAAGTGTTGGTGGTTAAATATGTGAGTTAAGCACCGCCAACACTAGTTGTGGCAACAAAATACAATATGACAACAACTAAGAAAGGTTCAACACATCAAACAAATCTCACTACTAGCTATGAAATTGAGCTTCAATGTTGGTAAAAAAGCTTCTACATCGGTAGCCACATTATTATCCACATGATACAACACATTTCTATTAATCAAGAAAGCATAGGTAGGAGATCCAACTGGTCGTGAGACCTGATATACCAAGCTGCCTCCCCCCACCCCCACCCCCACATCATATCCTTCTCTGGCACTAGCTGATCCGGGTTCATCCATGCCGAACTGGGTCTCCATGCCGGTTTATTAGAGACATATGATTAACATCTATCCTATGCTGACAAATATATGTTACTTCTATATATAGTTTTTATACTAACACGAGATTACATGTTGCTGATGAAATGAGTGCCAAGTCCTCAATTTGGTACGGGTGCTCGCATTTTCCTAGATTTATTTCAGGATTTAACGGAACTATGCTTTCAGTGGTAGGCGACGTTCCCGTCGACAGCGAGGCATCAATGGTGACTTCGTGAATCTCGAGATTTACCGGCTCAGTCCTTCGGAGGTGCTCATAGAGGTAGGGTTTGTGTAGGTGTGTTCAGGGGTGAGTGTGCGTGTATGTTGTGGGCGTCTACGTTGTACTGTGTAAAACCCAAAAAATAGGAAAAAGAGTGATGTCAGGTATATTTCCTGATACCATATCTAAAGTGCGGCTATGGTAGCTTGTGTGGTACACTGGTGATGATAGATACTTGGGTCGATTCCTACCGGTTGAGGCACACCCATAAGATGAGTGTAGAGGATTAGCCCCATTCAAGATAAGCAAATTGATAAGCACATACAATCACGTATATATACGACACCCGGAGCCTCTCTAGGATGACATGGCACCCATGGACAAGCGCACGTTGCCGCCACTTTTCTAGGGAAAGCTAGCATGCCATGCCATTTTTAGCCAGCCTGGATGGCATGTAGGCATGGACTCTAATCATTTGTATCCATGCACAATGTGTGACGAATCGATATGGATCAGAACACAGCTTTACTAAATTAATTCCTTTGAAAGTAAGGAATTGAAGAGGAAAATATCTCGCACGCAAGCATAAATCAAGCGATCGTCGCCGCCTGTCCCTTGGCTGGCTCAATAACAGGCTAACTGACCATGGTTTTTAGGGCAAGCGTGCTTGGACCCTCACTTATCAGTTGGGCACCAATCTATGCACGGTTTATGTGTGACAATGAGCACAGGCTATACATACCATATCGTCCAACAGATACATACATTAGGGTGTCTACATACATACACAACCAATAGCGTTCCACATTGGCACAATGCCACACGCACATGCATTTCTGCATGCACCTAAAACTGATATAGTAGTGAAGAACACGACGCTCTGGCGCCGCAATGATCAGCACTAGATCACGATGACCCAGATGGATGCCTACGCCTACAATAGTCCCTGCACTGCATGCGAGGCAACGTGGTATGCAGCCTTGCATCACAAAGGCCTTGCAGCATATAGCCGCAGCAGCCCTCGGGCGCTGACGCGCGCGCATCTTCAACCGCACATCCTACTTCACCATGCAGATGAGACGACGGCCAGAGCATTCCTGCATGCATGAGTGGCACGGACGGATACGGCCACAGGAATCATAGGCCAGGGTAGGCAAACTAGAGGCGGGTCATAGAAGGTTGCACGCCGCGCGCAGGCAGAGACATTCTAGAACCCGGGCACCTGTCGCTAGTAACAGCCGAGGCCCCAGCGCAAAAGCACGAGCCTGGGTGCATGAGGACAAGCGTGGCCTAGTTGGAAAGAACAAGGGTCCAACATTGCCCAGTAGAAACAGACACCACCGAAAAAGAGGGGAGCCCGAGACGAGACAGGATGCTTCAGCGGAAAAGTGGCTTGCGCGAACACGCCTCCTGCCTATTTAAGCCGCACTGTTGTGCGTGACTCACTGCAATATAGCAATTGTCGTGCATCCATCTTGGTGAGCGAGAGACCTAGACTAACCGGCAGGTCAAGAAGATCGAGTTTGTGCATATATGTATGCTTCATTTTTTAGTATTTTCTCAGCTTATTTTGTGTTGCTTGATACGGTTGTTTGTTGGTGCTTCTTGGATCTGATGATCTTAGTTAAGGAGCAAGAGAACCATGGCAGAGCAGCAGCAGCCGGAGCAGCAAGAGATGAACGCTGTTGGCGCTAGCAGAGGCCTCAGCCTGCCTCCAGGGTTTCGCTTCCACCCGAGTGACAATGAGATTGTCAGCATGCATCTACCTAAGGAACAAGGTGCACAATAGGGACTTCACCAGCACCGTCATCACAGAGGTCGATCTAAACAAGACTGAGCCATGGGACCTCCCGCGTACGTAACAAGCAGCCTTGATATGTAAATATATACACCCTTGTCTTGTTTGATCCAAGCAGTGGATGCATGCTGCTATGCTAGTCTAGTGATCAATATATGGACTAATATATGGCGCTTGATTCGTTCACATGCTGCAGGAGAGGCAAAACTAGGCGAGAAAGAGTGGTACTTCTACCAGAAGGACCGCAAGTACCCGACAGGGCTAAGGGCGAACCGGACCACAAAGGGCGGTTACTAGAAAGCAACCGGCAAGGACAAGGAGGTCTACAATACCACACAAGGGGTGGTGTTGCTCGTCGGCATGAAGAAGACGCTCGTCTTCTACAAGGGCAGGGCTCCCAGAGGCGACAAAACGAATTGGGTGATGCACGAGTACAGGCTCGAAGGCAGCGGTAAGCTCCCCGACCCGGCATCCGCATCCAGCTCAGCCCCGAACGTCGCGGCCATGAAATGTTCAGTTTCTGCTTCCAAGGTGCGTGGTAGTGGTAACAACAACGGCATGATGGATGCATCCATTGGTACTTGCTTTATTTGCTTATCCTAATCCTATTTCGCTCCCGGTTTATAAATGAAATTCGCGCAGGATGAGTGGGTGGTCTGTCGTGTTTTCGACAAGACCACTAGGATCAAGAAGATGACTACACCAGCGTACAAGGTGTCCATGGCTGGCGCTGAGATTGGTCAGAATCAGAACAACATCCCGGCCATCCCCATCCCCATGCCACTACAGCTGCCGCTACCCGTGCCCATGCCGATGCAATCTCCCATCCTGCCAGACTTCGCCACAGACCCGGTGCCCCCCTACTTTCCCAACACCGGCACGGGGATGCCACCCATGATGTCATCTATGGCAGGTATTGGTGGCACCAGCGGGCTCTAGATCAACGACGCCCTGTTCGGCAATCTAATAGCCACGCCGCCGTAGATAAACTTCTACCACTAGATGGGCACGGGGGCAACAACTGGCCATATGGGCATGGGAGCAGCAGGCCATATGGACATGGGAGTAGCTAGCACTGACGGCTTTGATGTTGATGCACCTAGGCCGTCCTCGATGGCATCGCAGAAGGATGAGCAGGCTAATGCCGCTGAGATCTGGTCGATGATGTCTGTCGCCGGCCCAGGGTCTGCAACCCCCACCATAGAGATGGATGTCATATGGATGTACTAAAGAAATGAACATGGAGGGTGGAGGCAAAGACATGAATGCGCATAAATATGCAGGTTATATCTATATCTGTATTGCATTTTATGAAATAATGCATTAGGTTTGTATGTTTTCGTAATAACTAGTCAGTAAACTACGTGTCACTAGTAAGAAAAGGGCTTCTATTCCCGGCTGCTAACCCCTTTATTCCCGGTTACGCAGCTGGGAATAGAAGTTCGGGAATAAAGGGTTAGTAGCCAGGAATAGAAGTGGACCTTTAGTCCCGGTTGGTGATACCAACCGGGACTAAAAAGGTAGCCACGCCAGCTCCTGGGCTGGCCCCTTTATTCCCGGTTGGTATTACCAATCGGGACTAAAGGGTCTTTTTTTTCTTTTCCTGCTTATTTCAATTGATGATTCTTTTTTTGTTTTAATTTAGTTTTCGAATACGCATTATTCGCTGCAAAGTAATATACGTATACGCGCGCGTACTGTAAAGTTTTCGCTCGATCAATACACGCAAGCAACACAAGTAAAAGTAAACTAAAACATAATATTATATTTCATCGTCACATGTAAAGTTTGCATTAATTGTACATTTCATCATCACATGTTCTTTGGATCAATATGAAATTTGGCTTTCATCATCACATATTTGGGTCATAGTAAAACTCGCCGCCGGGAGTTAAGACCTGATCATTCAGAAATCCACCTATTGTCTCTTGGATTGCTTTGAGATGGTGTGTGTCCAGGGTTTTTTCCTTCAACCAACGAGTCTTCAATTTGAGATATGAGATAAAGAAAAAAGTATATTAGTACATATATAATTTCATACATATATACATTAATATACATTTCGTTAATATAATTCATAAATATAATATATATATATACCGGCAGTTTAGAATTAATGGAGTGTTGGCGACGGGCGGTGGTGGACAGCGGCACTGGATCGAGGCACGGGGGCTCCTGGCCGGGCGCGGCGTCGTCGGAGCTACTCCGGCGAGGTGTGGGTGGGCGTCGGGATGCCCTCCGGTGAGGAAGAAGGCACGGCGTCGGGCCGGGTGGCTGGGAAAGCAAAATCGGCGGCGGGCGTGGCCTTGGCTGGCAAGCGCCGGGGGCAGCCAGGGGCTCCTCCTTGAGGGGCGCGGCGTCGGGGCTACTCCGGCGAGGTGGGCGGGCGTCGAGGTGCCCTCCTGTGAGGAAGGCGGCGTCGGGGGTGGCCGGGAACGCAAAATCGGCGGCGGCGTGGCGCGCGCGCGGCGTCGAGGGTGGCCTGGGGCTCCTCGGTGAGGGGCGCGGCGTCGGGGCTACTCCGGCGAGGTGGGCGAGCCTCGGGGTGCCCTCCGGTGAGGAAGGCGGCGTCGGGGGTGGCCGGGGAGGCGAATCGGCGGCGGCGGAGCTCTGGGGACGCGCTGAAGATGAAGACGATCGATGAGGAGGAAGAGAGAAGGGAGGCGGCGGTATATAGGAGAGGGACCTTTAGTCCCGGCTCCATCCACCGCCCGGGACTAAAGCACCTTTAGTCCCGGCTCCTGCCACCAGCCGGGACTAAAGGGGGACCTTTAGTCCCGGCTGTTGGAAGGAGCGGGACTAAAGGATTTTTTGGCGGGCCACCAAATGCAGCCCACCTTTAGTCCTAGCTGGTGGCAGGAGCCGGGACTAAAGGTGGGCTACATTTTCATTTCCCGCCAACTTTTAAGCAGATCAGTTTATTTTATATATGTTTTGTATTTAAATGTTTAAGTCTTATTATTTGCGCAGTAAATTCAATACTAGGCATAAAATTTTGCATCAACCTCCACAAATATTTGTCTCCTAGGGCACAAGAGACCATTTGGCAAAGTTTGGCACCATTCTGGATTTTTTCGGGGGTGGACTCAGTTCAACGTATAATTAATCGATGAAGTCGCGTGGAAATTCAATTAAAGTGAAAAAATTACCAAACCAATTCAGAAAAATCTCGAACTTGGTGGTGGCTTCACACTGGGCATTTGAAACCCTGATAAAAATTATGAGATCAATCAGGCACTAGAAAGCACATGGACCAGAAAATTCAAAGTATAGTTAACAAAAGAATATAATCAATTAAAGGGTCTTTTCTCTTATTAAATAAATGTTTGGGTGCTTTCTTGTCGAGAAAGTGACTTAGTTCAGATGGCTAACTAGTGCGCTGCGGTTTGGACCTTGGCTATGAGGTCGTGGGTTCAATGCCTGGCTGCCCCATTTCTTTGTCCAGCGCGACTATATTATTTTATAAAGAAAGATTTTATCCCGGTTATAGCCTAGAGCCAGGACTAAAGGTCATCCTTTAGTCCCGGCTAGAGCCTCAAGCCGGGAGTAAAGATTTATTCCCGGTTGGAGGGTCTAGCCGGGACTAAAAGATAACCTTTAGCCCCGGCTCTAGGCTATAACCGGGACTAATTGTTGCCTGTCGTCGCCACATACTTGGGGTAGGAACTTTGTATCCTTGTTTGAGGATACAACCGAGACTAATAGTCCCTTTAGTCCCGAACACAAAAATACCGGGACTAAAGGCAAAAATAGAGGCGGGATGAAAGGTCTGTTTTCTAGTAGTGTGTGTATGCATATACTAGTATATGTGTGTTTTTTCTCGATCGGGCATATAACCCGTTTTTCATTAAGAGAAAGTAGAGATAGTTAAATAGTTACAACAACAGGCATCCCGGTAATCCCAAGATTACCAAGACCCCAAGCACCCGATACAAGAAAACACAAGAAAATAGCAAGAAAGGCAGAAGGGAGAGGACCCTTCACCATAGACCTAACTGACTGAACCTATAGGAAAAAAATTCAACGCAAAGGTTGTCCACTCAGAAAACGAAGCCACAGTGGCAAAACATCCACTGGAAGAACCAAGATAACGATGACAACAGCGACCAGGTAGCCGCTGTGATCAACCACCGAAAGAACCCATATAACGGCGACCAGGTAGCCACTGTTGAAAGCTCTAGTTTGGTTTTGGTGAATTGATGAAACCCTAAGTGCTAACCTAGTTTATCAAGTGATCATGAGATAGGTAACACATTCCAAGTGGTAAAGCAAATGAAGATCATGACATGATGATGGTGATGCCATGGTGATGATCAAGTGCTTGGACTTGAAAAGAAGAAAGAGAAAACAAAAGGCTCAAGGCAAATGTATAAATGATAGGAGCTATTTTATTTTGGTGATCGAGACACTTAGTGAGTGTGATCACATTTAGGATCGATAGCCGTACTATTAAGAGGGGTGAAACTAGTATCGAAATACGATTATCAAAGTGCCACTAGATGCTCTAACTCATTGCATATGTATTTAGGATCTAGTGGATTCCTAACACCCTTGAAAATGTTTGTGAAAATATGCTAACACATGTGCACAAGGTGATACACTTGGTGGTTGGCACATTCGAGCAAGGGTGAAGAAGATAGAGTTTAAAAGGAGTTAGTCTCGCTGGTCACACAGTGATCGGACGCTGAGGTCCTACGTCCGGTCAATGGAAGCAGTGAAGACGCTGGCGTCGGTCTTCAACCAGACACTAGGTCACAAAGTGACCGGACGTTGATGGGGTGCGTCCGGTCCTACTGACGTGGCAGCACACAGTGATGAAGGTGGTTGACCGAACGCTAGGAGAGTCTGGTCAAGGGTGACTAGACGCGTCCGATCGTGAAAAACCGTTTATGGATGCTTACTGGAAATGACCGGACGCTGAGGTCCAGCGTCCGGTCACTTCACAACAGCGCGTCCGGTAATCACTTGACCGTTGGGATCAGGCGCTCAGTATTTGAAGAGAGGGGACACATGGCATGCATCGCGCGACCGGACCCAGCGTCCGGTCGATCTGACCGGAGCGTCCGGTCACCCCGAGTTGTGCCCAGTGAAGGGGTACAACGGCTCTATTTCATGGGGGCTTCTATTTAAGCCCCATGGCTGGCTCTAGCTCACTCTTTTGGCCATTTGCATTGACATAGCAACCTTGTGAGCTTAGCCAAAGCCCTCCCACTCATCTTCATCATAGATTCATCATCTTTGTGAGATTGGGAGTGAGTCCAAGTGCATTGCTTGAGTGTTTGCATCTAGAGGCACTTGATGTTCATGTTTCGCTTACAAGATTTGCTTGTTACTCTTGGTGGTTGTCGCCACCTAGACGGCTTGGAGCAGCGAGGGTCGTCAAGCGGAGGTTGGTGATTGTCTCCGGCTCCGATCGTGGTGATTGTGAGGGGTTCTTGACCTTTTCCCGGTGGATGGACAAAAGGTACTCTAGTGAATTGCTCGTGGCTTGTGTGATCATCATCTTGTGTTGGTTGTGTGGCACCCTATTGAGGGTTTGGCGTGTGATGCCAATTAGCACGTGAACCTCCAAGTGAGTGAATCGCCACAATGAGGACTAGCTTGCCGGCAAGCAAGTGAACTTCGGTAAAAAATCATTGTGTCATCATTTGATTCTGAGGTGATTGGTTTTTATTGATATTAATTCTTGTGATTGATTGGTTCACTCCTCGACTCGGCGGTATAACAATCTTGCTCACTCTCTTTACATTATCACAAGCTAGTTGTCAAGCTCTTTAGTGTAGCTAGTTGTGAGAGCTTGTTAGTTTGGTTAGTGTGGCTCTTTAGTTAGCCTTTGAGAGCACACTAACTTAGTGTAGTGACATAGCTATTGTGTGGATAGAAACTATATAAACTAGAATTGTGGTAGGTGGCTTGCAATTTTAGTAGACTAGCGCAAC